ACCAGATGTGAGGAAAAGGGGAGAAAAATGAGTATGATAGCACATTACGGCACCTATCTTTTAAAGAACAACACTCACTGTCTCTTGAGACTTACGACTTTGAGTTCCTGTTTTGAGGACAACATGGAGTTCTCCCTCAACCCCCCGCCCTTGCAGGCCTCCAGCCATTCCCCCATGAAGCCAGTTTTCTCCTAGCTAGGCTCCAAGAATGGAAATAAACTCAGGAGGAAAATAACCGAGGCAGAAAGAAGACTGGATGCATGGAACGTGGTGGGTAGCGGATGAGTTCAGCAACCCCCTGTTTTGCATGCTGCTTTTACAGTTGAAATTGTCCCTACCTCCACCCCCCTTTACCAGGTGTGCACACAGGTGACCTGTGTTTAAAGACACAGTCTTTTGCTGCTGGGTCTCATTCTGCTCCCCGTCAGTCACAAAGCAAAGGAAAAGATTCCTTGCCGTTTACCAATGTGACCTGAATGAATGAATCTTTATTTGCTCAACCATCGGCCATAGCAATAAAACAACAATACGATATACAAAGAATAGAAATAAAAAGTCAGTTACCGTATTTTTCGCTCTATAAGACGCCCAGACCACAAGATGCACCTAGTTTTCAGAGGAGGAAACAAGAAAAAAAATATTCTGAATCTCAGAAGCCAGAACAGCAAGAGGGATCGCTGCGCAGTGAAAGCAGCAATCCCTCTTGCTGCTGTGGCTTGTGGGATAGCTGTGCAGCCTGCATTCGCTCCATAAGACGCACACACATTTCCCCTTACTTCTTAGGAGGGAAAAAGTGAGTCTTATAGAGCAAAAAATACGGTATATAAAATACATTTTAGGGTTTTGAATCAATAGTCAAATAGTGGATCTTATTTTGATTCACTGGCAGGATTTGAATAAACTTTCACAATTTCATTTGAGTAACAGATATTTCAGATAAATTATAAGGGATTTTGTTTTTGTGTAGGAAAAGCATGATACGATAAATAAAATAAATAACTCAGCAGAGGGGGAGTTGAGACAAGTCCAGAGGAGGGGAGGGAGAATAATTGTAAATAACATGATGAATGAGATTTGTATCATTTCATTCTTTGTTATAAAATTCAATAAATATTCAGAAACAAGCAAACAAACAAAAAACCTTGCTGACTTTGCTGTCACCTGCTCATTTTGAGGTGCCAAGAGAAAGGACACTGTGGCAGTGGCTGGGAGACCCGGAATGGAGAATAAAAGAGGGGCTCAGTTGGTTAGACCATGGTGCTGATAACACCAAGGTTGCAGGTTCAATGACTGTATGGACCAGCTGCATATTCCTGCATTGCAGGGGGTTGGACTAGATGATCCCCAGGGTCCCTTCCAACTCTACAGTTCTGTGATTCTGGGTGAGAATCCCATTCCTCAAGTCTTTGTAAAGAGTGCAAGCCAGAAGGGCATGTGCCACCGATTCGGTACTGCCATCTCCACAGGGACATAAGCGTTTTGTGTGTGGAATCTGTTGGAATCGTCCCTCAAGTACAGCCAAGGGCAATACATTCAATCTTGCGAGAGTAAAAGTGCGTCTATATTTTAGAATTGGTAGGTTATGCAGATAGGGTGCCAGAGAGTCAAAATGGGAATAGTCACACCATGGGCAAACTTTCCATATTGTGGCCAATTTGTTCTGATGCTCGATATCATTTAGGTGCTGACAAATTAGACAGTTTGCTTTATCCAGAGAAGAGTGAGGGTTTTTGATGTGACCTATGAAACAATCAGGGGTTACAAAAGGCAAAACCAAAACAGATAAAACACACAGCTTTAAAAAATTGTGAAATTGGTCTATTGTCCCAGCCTTTCCCCGCACTTTTTTTTTTTATGGAGTGAATGAGATATGAGAGAATGCCTCTGCGAAGCTGATGCAGATAACAGAAGCTTGCACTTTATTTGATGCACACATGCACAACTCCAAGTGTGAAATGTGGACCATTTATAAATACGCCATGTCCAACTCCTTGAAAGATTCCATCAACGGTGTCTCCGAAAAAAATCACACATTACTTGGGAAGACAGGCGAACTAATGCCTGGAAGAAGCAAAGATTACCAGTGTCAAAGCAATAATTCTTCAACATCAACTTCGTTGGACTGGTCATGTGCAAATACCTGATTATCGTCTTCCAAAGCAACTACTCTATTCCAGACTTAAAAATGGACAGTGTGATGCTGGTGGTCAACAAAAGAGGTTTAAAGACTCATTCAAGGCAATCTAAAAAATGTAGTATAAACACCAACAACTGGGAAATACTGGCCTGCGAGAGCTCCAATTGGAGAACAGCCTTTACCAAAGGTGTTGTGAACTTTGAAGACGCTCAAACTCAGGACAAAAGGGAGAAACGTGCTAAGAGGAAGGCACGCTTGGCAAACCCTCACCTTGATCAACTCCCGCTGGAAACCTATGTCCCCACTGTGGAAGGACGTGTGGATCCAGAATTGGCCTCCATGGTCACTTACAGGTCAATGTTAAAACCGTGTTTATGGAAGATAATCTTACTCGCCAAAGAAGAAGAAAAGTGTGGGAATCCCTGGACAGAGCAATGGGGTTTTTCTTTTTTTGGGGGGGGGGAGAGGAAGCCACATGTGTGTCCTCAAGGTGTAGACTTGCATGGCTAGGGCTGCACTAACAGTTGCCACAGAAGGTGGTGTGTGAGAGAGAATGTAAAAGGTAAAGGGACCCCTGACCATTAGGTCCAGTCGTGACCGACTCTGGGGTTGTGGCGCTCATCTCACTTTATTAGCTGAGGGAGCCGGCGTACAGCTTCCGGGTCATGTGGCCAGCATGACTAAGCTACTTCTGGTGAACCAGAGCAGCACACGGAAACGCCATCTACCTTCCCACGGGAGCTCACCCCGTAGTGGGGATTCGAACCGCCGACCTTCTGATCGGCAAGTCCTAGGCTCTGTGGTTTAACTCATAGCGCCACCCGCTGAAACTACATTTTAGCTTAATTACAGCCTCCCCTTTATAGGCTTCCAAAAATGGGAGCTAAGGGGGCTGTCAACAACAACAAACAAAAAGTTCGAGAGGCTGGGTCCCTTCTGTTCCCCTGTAATTTGAGCATTGCAGCAGGCAGGTGATGGGTGAGACAAGGAATTAACTTAGAAATCACTCTCCAAAGTGGACCATGGTGATCAGGTGTGCACTGGATACATGTATCGTTTTGCTTTTAAAAACCACCATATGGGCGAATCTTAACAATGAAAATTCTTCAATTTAACACACATCAGTCATGATCTTTGCTCTTTTTTTATTCTGAAAACCAAAGCAATTCCCAAAGGTACAATTAATATTTTATATTATATATTAGTATCAACACTGCATTCCATGCAGACAATCCGTACCAAACATCTTGCCACAAGCTTTTCCACCCCACGCTCCTCAACATTGAATTATGTTGTAAATTCAAGTATACAAGAAAGAAAAGAAAGGCTTTGCATTGTTATGAGAGATAATGAATTTGGTGCTCAGATCTTATTTGCTGTGGACATGAACTGAATGGGTCATTTGACTTACAGGAAGCGCTTGCATGGTTTTTATTTTATTTTACAGAATTAGATGTGGTCAACACATCTAAAACCTGCAATTCCACATGTAGATTCTTTACCCAGCCATGAACTTCCAACAGGTACATGGAGACAGCAGTGATTTTCAGGCCAGCATTGAGACCTGAAATGTCAGCCCAGGACACACAGTGTCTGTTTTTATAGTTCTAATGCAGTACTGAAATGCCCCGAAAATGCCTTGTTAAAACTCCTATGAAAGCATGTCTATATTGGAGAGTGGAAGAACTACATCTCAAGTTGTGCTTCTCTTTATTAAATCCTTTCCCCCTACTCTTTGGCTATTTCAACACTGGGCATTATATCTGCAGAAAAGCTACACTTTCTTCACTGCCTTTTTTAGGGCATCTGTACAACACTATGAACCAACTAAACCACCACCTCTCATGTTCAGCTTCCTTTCCCCACTCAGAGCTCATAAAACCCAACTTTTTAAAATTCGGTGGAACAGTTGCACAATTTCCCCAGGTGTACATAGCTTGTCACACCGCTATTCTGGCCAACTATGGTCTGTATAGATGGCTTCAGCTATTTTCTTCAATATGGTCTGTTTCTACTTTCTTGAAATCAACCCTTATCACTTTTTCTTCTTCTTGCCCTAAATTGCAGCAGGGGAGGGAATCATGATCAGGAATGTCGTGAAAGGAGAAGGGTTTATTTAATCCTTCCCTCACCCACAGACTGTGTACACACTCTCTCATTTACTCTGCTTCCATTGTTTGGGGAGTGGCGTACACAAGACATTATCCGCAATCCGTATCCTATCCTGTATCAATCCTGCCATTTCTTATGAAATACTGCGTTTTGATCTGTTTTGCTCCAAACCAGCTTTGATCTGAATTGAGGAAAAGAAAGACCGAGCTGTGGTTTTAAGCTGGCAATCTGTACGTGGCCGCAATGGTCCTGGTGAATATGCATACACTCACATATCTGAGGCTGAAAAAAGGGAAAGGGGCCTGCTCTCTTGACAACAGAGTTTGAGAAGTCCTGGCTCTGAAAGCACAATGCCATTCCACTTACAGCTCGAAACAGAACAGCAGTGGTTGTCTGCTACTAAAAACTGTCCACGTCCGGAAGAAGCCTTTATGACTGTGGTCCACCTTTTGCATAAGAATGATCGGTGAACAAATATAAGATCCTGTTTGTTTGTTTCTTTCAGGGATCTCTTCTTTGCCGCCACCCCACTCTCCATACAGCACACCAGTGGTTGTGATAAATAGGCTAGCATATACTGTATTTTTTGCTCTATAAGACTCACTTTTTCCCTCCTAAAAAGTAAGGGGAAAGGTGTGTGCATCTTATGGAGCAGGCTGCGCAGCTATCCCAGAAGCCAGAACAGCAAGAGGGATTGCTGCTTTCCCTGCGCAGCGATCCCTCTTGCTGTTCTGGCTTCTGAGATTCAGAACATTTTTTTTCTTGTTTTCCTCCTCCAAAAACTAGGTGCATCTTGTGGTCTGGTGCGTCTTCTAGAGCGAAAAATATGGTACATACTGTCCTGAAAAAGTTCCACTGGGATGCATTGCGGGACTGTGTTGCATCTTATGCATGCGTTTTTACTTTTCTTAAAATTAAAATTAAAAGTCAGGTCAGGGAGAAAACGCCACGACCCTGGTAATAGCCCCATTTATACTCTGCCTGCATCTATATCTCTACACAGTTATAGAATTATACAAAATTAGTTATGTACTATACATTAGATAATTAGCTCCTGAGGAAACCCCTGGGACAGATAGGCTCAGCCTGGATACGGAATGAAGCAACAACACCCATAGATGCATAAGTTTAGGAGACATGTCTAATAATAATAATAATAATAATAATAATAATAATAATAATAATTCCTCTCGGTGCTTTTTCTCTCTTTCTCCAACCAAGGCAGCCCGGCTGCTGTTGTGCTCTTTGTGCCTGTTTTTATTTTTATTTTATTTTACCCCAGACCATATGCAGAAATGGCAAAGTACAACGTTTTTGTTCTAAACCAGCTTTCGCCCTCCAGATGTTTGGGACGCTGCCTCCTATCAGCCCCAGCTGTGCTGCCTGGGATTGATGCGAGGTCTGACCCAGCACACCTGGAAGGTTGGAGAAGCCTGCTTTGAACTCTCAGAGCCAAACTCCTTGTTACCTTCTGCACGGCAGTTTACCGACACACATCTCTTCCCTGAGTTTCCCAGTAACTTTAAAGCAGGCGTATCATGCAGTGAGTGTCAACATGCTGCCAGTACTTTCCCGCCTCCCTGCACAGGGCAGTCGATATATGCCGGGAGAGCAGCAAACACAGAATGTGATGGAGTCACATCGCTTGTCCTCAAAATATTACCTGAAGAAATGGGATAAGAAGTGTGGGTCATCGCGGTCTCCCTGTATTGCCGTAACAGGTGAGCTAGCCCTTAGGATATGTCCAAAATTTGCTCAGGCACATATTTCTCTTGTGGCCATACAGATATGCTCGCAATAACTTCAACATCAAAATATTTGTTACAGTCTGATTTTAAATGTGGATTTTTTTCCCTGGGAGGGAGCTGGAGCTAGTGGGAAAATCTGGGACTGGCAACCATGCCTCGCATCACATAGTGTTGTATCCAAATTAGATTGGGGGGGGGATTGTCCAGTAGCAGCACTTTCAGGAATGTGTACCAGAATTTTACAAGTACATTTTATCACCCGAACCCACTGGTAAAACATATGGGGTAACCATCATACAAGATAAAGAGGACAGAACAGGAACGTCACCGTTTCCAAGAAAAAATAAGCTCTATATGTGCCACGAGACTCCCTTGAAAAAGACCAGGTCTTGATTCCTAACTAAAATGTGATTGTTAGTAGGATCAGACAGAGTGGGAAGAGAGAATCTGCTTTAATTCCCTCCGTTCCCTTCATTGAGATAAGGTAGACCTTTCTCCTTCTCATTCATAAAGTACTAATGAAACCAGTGACTAGAACTCGTTCTTAAAAAACACCCAGAAAAAGAAAGCTAAGTCATATAGCCAATTGTGAGGTGGAGTTGGTAATTCACAGCAGAAATAAGACAAACCATATTATTGTTTTCAGGGTCTGAGGCCAAGTTTGATACGTATTTTATCCTCTGGATGGGGTGATTACTGTCAATTGCAAGGCCTCCTTAATTAATGCTTTCTTTCTCGTGGCTCAAATTTATACCACCATTACCGATAAATATGAAGGTGGCATTTCAGGCCCAGATTAAGCTCCCCACAAGCCACAAATGCCAGGCGCTGCATCCAGTAAGTGCTGCAATGACACTGAGATATTTGAGTCAGACCAACTTGTTCCATGTTAACTATAATCCGTAAGCATCTCTCAAGGGTTTATTCAGAAGGCAAACTTCAATCTCTCCCACCAGAAGCCTAGATTTCCCCCTACCCTAACCTTTCTTTGGACAGTTTAATGTATTTGCTTTCTCACCGTTTGGGGGCTTAAAAAAATTATGTGTAATACCCTCCATAACACACAGAAGCAAAAAAAGCATCTTCTTTTCTATATGGCTCAGCTGCCTGAGAAAAGCAGGAAGAGTGCAGACTTAGACTTCTTTTCCCTGGCACTGAAATCAGCCGTGGATGGCTACACCTGAAAACAACCGATATGAAGTGGGCTTCTCTGCAATAAAAGCTTCGACTCCATTGTAACTTTCCCCGCTAAACCACCCAGAGCCACACGCCAAACCTGCATGCCTTTTGGGTCCTCCTGTATCCATTTCTATTCTTTTTGGGGGGCTCTTTAGGTGTTTACTTTCCCCTTTTTGCTATTTCTTCAGTTGTGCTCATCGTGAAACAAACAGGAAACGGGAGGTGACGTTTTAAAGGTGTGAGAGCAATTAAAAGAAGAAGAAGACGCATTCTTCAGCATTGATCCGCTTCGACGAAACCCTCCTTCTCGTGGCCAGATGGCTCCACTTCGGTGTACATCGAGTGGTTTCTGAATTTCATGGCAGGCCACTGGTGCGGTCTCTGCTGTGGCGTGAAGAAAAGAAGGGCGTCAGTATGTGAAAAGGGTTGGCTGTCACGATTTGCACACATACATACTTTACATCAGCCTTCCTAAAGTTGCGTGTTTCTGGACCCCAGTTCCCATCAGTCCCCACCAAGAGTAGCCAGCAATCAGGGATGATGGGAGATACAGTCCAAAACATCTGGAGTGTAATGACCTCTGGCAGTCTATCAAGCCATGATAAGAAGTAATGACTCTCCGGCAGTTTTAGGTACGTTTATTTACAAAAAGACATATCCAGAGCACGGCTTCTCGCCTGCTCGCATTTACAATAGTTGGTCAGTCTGAAATTTTGCCCCTCCCACAGCAGGAGGGATGGCAAACTCCCGCCTTTCCCCTCTTGCCCTTCCGTTGCCCTCTGATCTTATGCAGTCACCTAGAATGAGGACTGAGAGGCTGGCCTGCCCCCTCCCCACTTCCACTCAACACAGACTCAGACCTCTGCTTATCTGCTGATTGCCTAGCAATGCTCTGGCTGTCTTCCAACTCTCCCTCTTCTTGAGAGCTAACAGAGTCTTCCTCAGGAAAGGGGGTCGAGCTGCCCTTCCTCGACTCTGTCAGCCAGGTCACATCTGCAGAGTCAATCTCTGGTTCACTTAGTTCAATTTCTGAGTCTAGTTCTTCCCCTGAGCTCTGGGGGGCCACGTTCCTGACATGGAGGACCCCAGGTTGGGGAAAGCTGCCATACATTCTCAAACCGATCTAGTGATTTCTGATATGTGCATGAGTTGTTGTGCACAGAGCTGTCCTTCCTAAAGATGAGGCCCACAGTTCAGTGGCAAAACTTATGCTTTTGCATACAGAAAGTCCCAGGTTCAATCTTTTGCATTTACAGATTGGGTAAGCAGGTGATGAGAAGGACTTCGACCAGAGACCCTAGAAAAGCCTCTGCCAATCCGTTCGGGGCTGGATGGAGAAATAGGTTGGCCAGGTATAAGGCAGCTTCCTGATCTCCATACAGATCAAAAGGAAGGACCTGGCAGCATGCACAGGCCCTGCAGAGAACTGTCCCCTCTGCTCGAAAAAAGAAAAGAAAAAAGAAGCTCCTTGTGTGCATATCAAACTGCATAAAGGGCTCTGGATTGCAGTGATTATCCGGAAGTAAGTTTTATTCATTTTGTAGAAATACTGTGCTTATTTGGGAGAGTTCCTTCCCCCTCCCCCTTTCTAATTCTGCCAGATGCATAAATATATTTGCAGAAGTAATATCATGAAAATTACAGCCTCAAAGGTAAAGCCATTGCCATTTTATATTCTATATTTTAGTGTCTTCTTCTTGAATAGCACCTGCAAAGATTGCTCAGGTACAGGGCCTTAGGTACACTTCAGAGCATCAGAACTGCTGTTGAGGACCCCAAATGGAACGCGGAAAATATAGGACAAACAAATCTGTGAAGCAGTATTCAGCAAGCACTGAATCTGGTGCTCAAAACTTTATTTTCAAAACAACATGGGGAGGGGGAATTCTGATGCTATTTGGGGTAACATATCAAATTAAGATGGTGCCAAAGAGGGAGGGAACGGGTGAAGACCAGCCTGGAGAGAAGATCGAGGAGATGGGAACCTAAAGGTTTGTCATTTTCTTTCTCAATGCCCAACCATTTTTCAAATTGATTATCTCCAGGGAGAATTGCACTCTGCAGCAGGGAAAACACTTGGCTAGGGATCAAGAGGGGGATTTGGGTCACAATTTTATTTTACTGGCAAACCTCTCGAGTGTTGAGAGAGAAGTGGCTCTTGGGTAGCAATCTAACACCCACTCACCTGGAAGCAAGCCTCAATGGGGCTTGCTACGCTGTCAAACTCACCTTAATGAAGAACAAAGCAGCGTGGGATGTAGGGTTGCTTCTGATGTAGATCCCAGCAAGAATAATGGCTGCTATGAGCAGGACTGCCAGCACAATTCCAACAATGGTTCCTGTATGGAGCTGGGATTCTACTTTTTCTGCAGGGAAGTCGTCTCTCAAACCTTCAGGGGAAGTTTTCATAAGGGTTGGGGGGATAATGTGCAAATTACTCCAATACAGCCACAACAAAAGAAAAACAACAACCCACAAGGATCAGCCAGGCGAGCTTTGTTTGTTCAGTTATCAAAAAGAGGCTGAAAGGTACACCATTTGTGGGTACCATTACCCACAGTGCCTTTAAAGGTAAAGGGACCTCTGACCATTAGGTCCAGTCGTGACCGACTCTGGGGTTGCGGCGCTCATCTCACTTTATTGGCCGAGGGGGCTGGCGTACAGCTTCCGGGTCATGTGGCCAGCATGACTAAGGCGCTTCTGGCGAACTAAGCCACTTCTGCCACATGACCCAGAAAGCTGTCTGCAGACAAATGTCGGCTCCCTCGGCCTGAAAGCGAGATGAGCTCCGCAACCCCATAGTCGCCTTTGACTGGACTTACTGTATTTTTCGCCCCATAGGGCTCACTGGCCCACAGGGCGCACCTAGTTTTTTAAATTATTCCCCCCCCCAGGCGCGGGGCTGTGGCCGGGGAAAGCCCGAGCTTCCCCTGACCCCAGCCCCCAGAACAGGCTGCTATCCGCAAGCCGTGGGAGAGCTGCGCGACTTCGCGCAGCCCTCCCACGGCTTGCGGAGAGCTGCGTGAAGCCCGAAGCCTGGGGGCGCTGAGCTCAGCACACCCCAGGCTTTGGGGTGCAGGCAGCTCTCCGCAAGCCGTGGGAGAGCTGCGTGAAGTCGAACAGCTCTCCCACAGCTTGCGGATAGCTTCCTGAAGCCTGGAGAGTGAGAGGGGTCGGTGTGCACTGACCCCTCTCGCTCTCCAGGCTTCAGCAAAAGCCTGCATTCGCCCCATAGGATGCACACACATTTCCCCTTCATTTTTGGAGGGGGAAAAGTGCATCCTATAGGGCGAAAAATACGGTAACCGTCCATGGGTCCTTTACCTTTACCTTTAGTCATATGGTCATCCCAGGTGAAACAGCAGTTCAGGGCACACCTCACATCCCCAGAACATGGACATTCCCACACATTTGCATATCCACTAGGCCAAGAAATAATTAGGCACTTACCGTCTTCTGGATTTTGGTTCAACTTCGTATCATCTATAAGTAAACAAAAACAATATCAAAAGGAGGATATAGGCTGGTTTGGCAAAGTCTTTCGGAGGGTTCAGATTCCTAAGTCTGGCAGGTAATCCTGAAAACAAGGTACTTTCCAAAAACATCATGGTTTAAATGTGGTATTGAATTAATGAATGGCTTATAGGCTTGGCTGTGGAGGACTGTGGTTTGGTTTTTTTTAATTGTGGCATTTAATTGCTCCATCCATCTAACTGCTCGATATTTTGCTTGTTATTGCTGTTATGCTGTGTATGTGTTTTGTTAATGAATGAATGAATAGTTAAAAATTAGAAGGGGAACTTTGTTGCTTCCAGATGTGGAAGCATCCATTTAAGAGCATCCAGTGGTTGCTATTCTGCTTTATGCAGGCAGGGAATAGCAACTCTGCTTGCAGACAATTGCAGCCAGGTGTTCACTCACGAAATATAGTGGAGAAGGCTGTGGTGTGTGTGGGGGGGGAAGGGTTAAATAATCCTTTATCCTTTGATGCACTGTGGATCATGATCCCCCACACCAACTTGCAATTTAAGAAAGGTGGAGGAAGAAACAGATATAAAGGCAATACTATTTGGAAAATGAAGGGTTAACGTGGTCGAGCTGGTTCCTAGAGAGGAGGAAGAACCACAGAGAAAGAAATATTCTGCACATGAATTGCAGATTTGCTGTGTTATGGGTTGCTGAAATGTTAAGCAACAACAGGATGAAAAGGAAAGGAAGCTGGACAGCTAAGTCGGTAGAGCATGAGATTCTTAATCTCAGAGTCACGCGTTGGGCAAAATATTCCTGCATTGCAGAGGATTGGACTAAATCAGGGGTAGGCAACCTAAGGCCCGGGGGCCGGATCCGACCCAATCGCCTTCTCAATCCAGCCCGCGGACGGTCCGGGAATCATCATGTTTTTACATGAGTAGAATGTATCCTTTTATTTAAAATGCATCTCTGGGTTATTTGTGGGGCATAGGAATCCGTTCATTATTTTTTCCAAAATATAGACTGGCCCACCACAAGGTCTGAGGGGCAGTGGACCGGCCCACGGCTGAAAAAGGTTGCTGACCCCTGGACTAGATGGTTGTTGTGGTCCCTTCCAACTCTATATACCTTTTCACGTACAGAAGTTGACTGGGCTGGTGGTTGAATCTTATTTCAATACCAGCAACAGGAAAGAATGCTTCACCACACTTGAGAGCAGTTGGCTAGTTACAGGGATGTAGGCTAGGCCATATGATATGCACAGCTCTGTCCTCTCCAACAGAAGGGTATAGCCAGAAGAATCAGGAGAAACAGTCTGGGGGCTACTATCCCAGCATCTGCTGCATGAGGCAGTCATCTCACTCTGTCTAATGGTAGGGCTGGCCCCACACTTAACGGTTTCTTATATCCCTATATAAGGGATGCGGGTGGTGCTGTGGTCTAAGCCACAGAGCCAAGGGCTTGCTGATCAGAAGGTTGGCGGTTCGAATCCCCGCAACAGGGTGAGCTCCCGTTGCTTGGTCCCTGCTCCTGCCCACCTAGCAGTTCGAAAGCACCTCAAAGTACAAGTAAATAAATAGGTACCGCTCTGGTGGGAAGGTAAATGGCGTTTCCGTGCGCTGCTCTGGTTCACCAGAAGCGGCTTAGTCATGCTGGCCACATGACCTGGAAGCTGTACGCCGGCTCCCTCGGCCAATAAAGCGAGATGAGTGCCGCAACCCCAGAGTCAGTCACGACTGGACCTAATGGTCAGGGGTCCCTTTACCTTTACCTTTATATCCCTATACAGTGGTACCTCGGGTTAAGTACTTACTTCGTTCCGGAGGTCCGTTCTTAACCTGAAACGGTTTCTAACCTGAAGCACCACTTTAGCTAATGGGGCCTCTTGCTGCCGCCGTGCCGCCGGAGCACAATTTCTGTTCACATCCTGAAGCAAAGTTCTTAACCTCGAAGCACTATTTCTGGGTTAGCGGAGTCTGTAACCTGAAGCGTATGTAACCCGAGGTACCACTGTATGGAATTAGCACTATCTGCATGTTATAAAAGATTAGTATTATTCCAAAGAATAATACTAATTCCAAAGAATAATACTTTTTATAAAACCAAACTCTCTCTCTCTCTCATATGCTTGTGAAGACAGGATTTCTAGCGAGACCATCTGCTCATCCACTTGTCTGCTTACACAGCTTATTCAGAAAAGCATGAAGCATTTACTTGGAGAGGTCATTTGAGCAAGGACATAACTCTCTCTCCTGTTTTACCACTGCTCAGCTTCTTTGGAAGGAATGAGTAAGAAAACATCTTCTCTCCTCTTGTCACTTAACAGCACCCCCTGGAAGAAATTATTTGGGCTCTGCTTTTATAGGCAAGAGGGGAAGGCACAAATGGCATCCAAATAACTAGGATGTCAGCCACATTCATAAATATCATCTCCATTAGCTGGCTCCAAGGAGCTGGACTGTAAGGATAAAAGATAAAAATTGAAAGAAGCGTTCTATGATGTCTTCGCAGCTGGCCTAGATTTATTTCATGTTTCAATTTCACCACCAGAAAAACATTCCTATTATAAACGTACAAGTTTCATCATTTTATCAGTCTCACACCATCATACATACATATGTTATCATCTTTTTTTGATAACCTCACGAGTGCCTTTTCAGAGGGTAAGAGTCCCAGGAAGACTTGAGGCCCAGTACCATGGTGATGGCTGTTGTGTGTGCACGTTTGTTTTGTCTCAAACCAAGCTAAGAAATTAACCTCATGCTTTAAAAAGGTAAAGGTACCCCTGCCCGTACGGGCCAGTCTTGACAGACTCTAGGGTTGTGCGCCCATCTCACTCAAGAGGCCGGGGGCCGGCGCTGTCCGGAGACACTTCCGGGTCACGTGGCCAGCGTGACATCGCTGCTCTGGCGAGTCAGAGCCACACACGGAAACGCCGTTTACCTTCCCGCTAGTAAGCGGTCCCTATTTATCTACTTGCACCCGGAGGTGCTTTCGAACTGCTAGGTTGGCAGGAGCTGGGACCGAACAACGGGAGCGCACCCCGCCGCGGGGATTCGAACCGCCGACCTTTTGATCGGCAAGCCCTAGGCGCTGAGGCTTTTACCCACAGCGCCACCCACGTCCCTTAACCTCATGCTTTAATACGCTGTTATAAAAATAAAACTATTTCCCGGAATCAAAAAGTCAACTGGAAACCATCAGCGCGGCTCTTCCCTCATATTTTATTAGCTCTTTTCAAAGTCAACTCAGTCACAAAAGAATGCTTTCCTCTCCTTCCTTCACTGCTGAAGGGCAACTACTAATGTTCTTTTCTATTTATTTTAATTAGCAGCTTGCGACAGGGACTGTTAAACAGCAAAATTGAACTGGTACCTGCTGCTAACCACAGAGGGGAAAAGTAGTTTTGATGCTAACCTAGGCATATTATGCACAAGATCCTGGGGAATATGTCATAATTTCTCATACTGGAGAAAACTTAATTAGTCTGGGGTGATGTTCTGTTTTAAGCAGTCACCATGACACACTGATCTCCACAAGTTAATTTCAAAAACGAAAGGTCTCTGGTCTCTCTCTGGAAGCGATGCCTCCAGCCAACCTAGAATGAGGGCTTGGAGCAAGAAGACCACACTTTTCTATCAGTCTTTTCCCACTCATCCAAATGTTAAATTTAGACATTCAGCGCAATGGGTCTTTCAAACCGTGTTTGCACATGTATAGCTGATGCAATTCTAATTCATAACTGTGTGAAAAGCCTAGATCAATTTCTAACTGATTAGTTCAGCTATGACCGCTCACCTCAAGCAAATTTGGTTTCTCAAGGTGCTGAAAATTAACTAACCTTGTTCATGGATCTGAGAGAATACACAATAATCTACAGTAGGGTTTCCCAAACTTGGTCTCCAGTTGTTTTCAGACTACAGTTCCCATCATCCCTGACCACTGGTCTTGCTAGCTAGGGATGATGGGAATTGTAGTTCGGAAACAGCTGGAGACCCAAGTTTAGGAAACACAGGGTGGACATCCTCCTGAGGCCTCCCTTTCCCATTTGACCCTGGCTGGTACCTTCTGTAGTTAGGCTGTCGACAAAGTGGGAAGAAGAAGTGGTGATGTCTTCTCTGAGTGGTGTGAAGGGACTCTCGCTGGGAGGTGTTGAGTAGTAATGTTCATCGTCTTCAAAGTCGGCACAGGTCTTCTCTTCTAACTAAAACGACAAGCCCGAACCAGTCATTCCGGTGGTGCTTCTTTGTGGATGTAATTTGCCACATGCCATTGACGCAATCATAGTGCATTAGTGGCAGACTTATTTATACTGGCCCCATACGCACATCTTTCAATTTTATTAGTTATTCTGCAACGCTTCCTCGGTGTTGCCACATTACAACACTGCTGTTTATGGAGGGGTATTCTTGCACAATAGCTCAGCAAAAAGCTCAACAAAACAACAACCAACCAACCCTCGGAATATTTCTGGTTTGAAAAGTTAAGAGGATTTCAGAAGGAGGCTACAGAATGTCCACCAACTCTGTTTTAAACTTAAAAATAATAATCTTAAACCGATGCAAAGACTGGAGAACTGATCTTAAGAACAGAACCATGAGAAATGGAGAGACACTAAAGTGGGCAGATTCACCCATCCCTAGCAGTTAGAATTGCTTGGCTGCCATTTTTTGAAAGTGCATGTCCAAAGTCCGTTTCGGGGGCATAATCCGGCCCACTAGTCGGTTTAATCCAGCCCCTGTGGCAGTTTATTCCTGGGGTAAAAGCCTAAAAAAACCTCAACAACTTTGGTTGACGCTTTGGTCGGCCCCCACAACTCTTCACTTCATCAAATCTGGCCCTCTTTGAAAAAAGTCTGGACACCACTAAACACTTATCCATCCAACTGTCTCCTTTCCCGTGTTCTGTTTTTTTTGCACTAAACTTCCTTGCCGTAATTTTGCCTGTGCTTTTGTTTTCATTCTTTACTCCCAACACTGTGGACATCGTTGATCTCTCCCTCTCTGCATATGTTCCCATGTGCAAGGGGAGGTATTTCCTAAAAATATTTAGGAATGGTTTGGGGTCAGGTGGGGGGGCAAGCTCCCAAAACAACCCAATGAGGACTGAACATGCTCAGCGAGCATGGAATGCTGATGGATTGTTGGCAGGAAAACATGGAAAACTGTGTGGAAGCGGGAACAGAATGTGAACAGAACACTTTGCTGCAAAATTTTGCAGGCTCCCTTGTTGTTCTTTCTTTCCTTTAATCTGCAAACACTTTGGGTTATTATTACGGCTCATGGCCCTGTGTTAATAAGGGCGAATTGACTGAATCTCATTCCACCATTATAATGAATGTTACGGCTATGTAGAAGTGGAATGCAGCCCTTTGGCTGAAAAAAGATCGCCCAGCTAGGACTTTCAGCCTCTTAGGAAATGGGGGTATCAATAGTTTGAAACTCAGAGGTGGGAGACACTGGTTGAGCACTGAGCCAGGGTTGCATAAGTTCATACTTTTAAGTACTTTGATCATAACTTTACCTCTTGGTCACAGCCATACTCCAACCACTCTTCACGATGTCGGTCAAATCCACTGGAACACCTACAGAAAAGAGAAGCGTGTAACCAAGTATGCATCTAACCTACAAATATAGACCCGCTTGCTGACATTCTCACTGCCATGGCTTTCCCAAGGAATAAGTGTGTGTTGTGTGTATTGGGACAATCTGGTATCTTTTTTGATTTCCTGCACATGTGTTGCTTTAGCAAAAAGTAGAAATGCAGAAGAACGGCACACGATGCAGGAGGAAGACAGACGACAGTGTTTTGTTCCCCATGGGAGATTGCAAAACGTTCGATACCTGACAGCTGTCATTGGGGCAAGGGGTCACCACAGGATTTGAATGTGAGTGGTTTAGCCTAGGAAACAGGGGTGCCAACTTGAATAAAATATTGGGGGGGGCAGGTCCGTATAGTTAAAGCTATGGTTTTCCCAGTCGTGATGTATGGAAGTGAGAGCTGGACCATAAAGAAGGCTGATCGCCGAAGAATTGATGCTTTCGAATTATGGTGCTGGAGGAGACTCTTGAGAGTCCCATGGACTGCAAGAAGATCAAACCTCTCCATTCTGAAGGAAATCAGCCCTGAGTGCTCACTGGAAGGACAGATCCTGAAGCTGAGGCTCCAATACTTTGGCCACCTCATGAGAAGAGAAGACTCCCTGGAAAAGACCCTGATGTTGGGAAAGATGGAGGGCACAAGGAGAAGGGGACGACAGAGGATGAGATGGTTGGACAGTGTTGTCGAAGCTACCAGCATGAGTTTGACCAAACTGCGGGAAGCAATGGAAGACAGGAGTGCCTGTCGTGCTCTGGTCCATGGGGCCACAAAGAGTCGGACACGACTAAACGACTAAACAACAACAACAGGTAAGCCACACCCCACATAACTGATCACATGATGTGGTGCACACACACCATTTTGCGGGGGGGCCTCAAATATTTTATGGGGGAGGCAAAGACCCCCTCAGCCCCTAGGAGTTGGCTCCTATGCTAGGAAGAAACCAGGCCTGAGATAGGCAAGAATCTTCTCATGCAAAGACATGCACTTATGGAACCTTACCCATTTCGCCAGAACTAGAAATACATACAAATTAACTATTTTTCAAGTTAGATGCACCATAGCTCAGTGGTAGAACGTCAGGTTTCCATGCAGAAAACCCCAGGTTGAATCTTCAGCATCCCTAGGTAGGCCTTCGAGAGAAGTTTGTGTAGAACACAGCTTCCTGGGTTAGCAATCACGGCTTCTTTCAAGTACCCATAAAACTATCGCTTCCTGGAGATATTAAGGAACACAGCCTAGTCCCTTCCTCTAAACAGAACACCACCCAGGCTCCTTGGGTTGCTAAAGCATTTTGCGGCTTTTACGGCCTCCTGTTCTCTGTAAGGAGGGCGCTCCCTTCAAAATGCCTACAGAACTAGCAGTAGAAAGCTAGCAATATGAGCATCTGGCCTCGATTCTGTGTGGGAGGGCTAGGTTATTTTTAAGTATATGGTTTTATAATCGGAATCCCCAGATGGGTGTACTGTACCAGATACACGAACAAGCGAATGTAACAAACAGGGAGACCAAAAGGGCTTTCCCTGAGGAACTGGGCGACTCCATGCCAACACAGCTGGGCCGGAAGACTCTGAAATGTTCCTTCTTGCTGATGGGATTTTCTGTCTCTGCTGGAGAACAGCTTAACCTCACTCTTCAAGAGAGATGGAAAACTTGGGAAACCGCATCCCGTTTGCATCTGCATAGGCTGATTTTGGATTTCAGTACACGGGGTGCACAGTAAGGCAGCGCCCAAAACATTGCAGCTTGTTGGTTTCCGAACGTTTTGGAAATAGAACGGACTTCCGGAACGGATTCCGTTCGACTTCCAAGGTACGACTGTACTGCAAATCATATTGCAAGTCATCTTGGATATTAAAGACTCAAACTGGGCAGGTTTGAACAATTTGGGGCAATTAAAATGTTAAAAGTTAAATAAACCTTGTGGAGGGAGGAGTGTTAAGGTATAGAGAATTGTACATATGGTTGATTTGAATATGTTATTATTGAATATGTATACCCAATGTATCAGCCGCCTAGGGGTTTTCACTGGTGGTTTTCACTGTGTTTTGGTTGTTGGTAAAAAAATAATAAATAATAAAGAAAATAAAAAATAAAGACTCAAACTGTAAAGACTAGCCACACATGTTGGGCAGCTGGTCACATATCAAATATCGGGGCGCTTTGGGCAGGCTAAGCTGCAGGCAAATATTGTTGTTGTTTAATCGTTTAGTCGTGTCTGACTCTTCGTGACCCCACGGACCAGAGCACGCCAGGCACTCCTGTCTTCCACTGCCTCCCGCAGTTTGGTCAAACTCATGCTGGTAGCTTCGAGAACACTGTCCAACCATCTCGTCCTCTGTCGTCCCCTTCTCCTTGTGCCCTCCATCTTTCCCAACATACTGCAGGTAAATAGGTAAAGGTAAAGGGACCCCTGACCATTAGGTCTAGTTGTGGCCGACTCTGGGGTTGCGGCGCTCATCTCATGTGGCCAGCATGACTAAGCCGTTTCTGGCGAACCAGAGCAGCACACGGAAATGCTGTTTACCTTCCCGCCGGAGCGGTACCTATTTATCTACTTGCACTGGCGTGCTTTCGAACTGCTAGGTTGGCAGGAGCAGGGACCGAGCAACGGGAGCTCACTCCGTCGCGGGGATTCGAACCGCCGACCTTCTGATTGGCAAGTCCTAGGCTCTGTGGTTTAACCCACAGCGCCACCTGTGTCCCTTTGCAGGCAAATAGCAAACTGCAAATATGACATGAAGGCAGGCAACATCATCAACCCCGCCATGTGGGAATCCCTCTGCAGACAACCGCAGTGCCTGGAGACAGACAGACAGACAGACAGACCATGCATCCACAGCAGTGACCAGAGGAGAAATGACAAGCACAGAGAGAAGCAACGACATGGTGCGTCTGCAGCAGCACAACGGGACGCCTTCATCTGACCCAGCTGTAACAAAACATGTCTCTACTGCCACAGCAGGTGCCCGACAGTTTGACTTCACCCCCAAAGGCACACCCCTCCACTGTCTCCTGAGACAGATGTGTGCCAACTAAGATCCTCCCAAGTCGGTGGTGAGGAACAAGCTTTCACAGTAGCATGATGCTTTACCACCTTAGTGCATATGCAGAATTCTCAAATACTGTTCATTTATAATGACATTTGTCAGTGGATGTCCCACAAGGAATCAAAATAAAGCAAAAGCTAAACCTTCATTTAAATAAAGCAAAGCCATCCTCCATCCCAGTCGAACTATCCTTCTTTGCATCTGGTTACAACACTGGTTCTGGGCACTGTGAGTAGGAGTGGATTAACTCCCCATTTCTCATGGCACTTCCCACAAAGTCTGCCTCTTGTTTGCTCTACAAACAGGACACCCCATTCAGCTAAGACACAAAGCCACTAGAATTCTCCTTTTCCTTCTCCTTCTCTATTAAATTTATATACCGCTCTATACCCGGGGGTCTCAGGGTGGTTCACAGAATAAAATCAAGATATAAAACCACAAAATACCTAATAAAAATAAAAACAACAGCCCAATACCACCACCACCCCACAAAAAACACAATTTAAAAGGGCATAGGATGTAGATCAGATAACCAAACACCTGGTTGGAAAGGAATGTTTTTGCCTGGTGCCTAAAGGTATGTAATGAAGGCGCCAGGTAAACTTCCCTGAGGAGAGCATTCCACAGACTGGGAGCCACTGCAGAGAAGGCCCCGTTTTCGTGTTGCCACCCTCCGTACCTCTCAAAGAAGGGCCTTCTTCACACGAAGAAGGGCCTCAGAAGATGACCTCGGTCTGGGTAGGTTCATATGGAAAGAGGCAGTCCTTGAGGTATTACGGTCCTGAGCAGTTTAAGGCTTTATGGGTCAAAACCAGCACTTTGAACTGGGCCCGGAAACTAATTGGTAGCCAGTGCATACTTTCCTAAACTTGCTTTCGAAAAAGCTTGTAATTGAACAACCCTCCCCACGAAAAAATATTTGCTACATCTTTATTCTGTCATAGTCCTACATAAGTGTGGTGCAGGGCAATCAAGGCAGGACTTTGGGGCAGAAATACAAACCGGCCGCTCAGTCGAATGAGTACAAGGGTTCCCATAGGGATGCCTTGCCACATTTTGAAGTAAGGGACATTGCCATCTAAAGAGGGAGGATCCTTCTTCCCACCCCCCACCCAGAGATCATTAAGTCCCAGGGTCTAAAATTACCTAGCTGCACCATAAATGTACCATAAATAGGACAAGACTAGAGGGAGCTAATTTGACTCTCGAGGTGCGAATGTTCATCCCTTTCCACATTTGTGTGCCTTACCTCTGCAGGACATGACACCAGCTACAGTTGAAGGTTAGGTCAGATGTGGTGCAAACTTCGCAGCTCTGGTGCTGGAGGCAAGCTGCAAGGGAAAGAGGAAAAGCAGGAGCGCTCCAAAACTTGCTTTCCAAAATGAGAGGAGCCAACGCAGAAGCCAGCCTGGAAGATGAGCTTTCTGAGTGTTGGATGGCTGGCGACCTGGGAGTAAAAAAGGTAAAGGGACCCTTGACTATTAGGTCCAGTCGTGGCCGACTCTTGGGTTGCGACGCTCATCTCGCTTTATTGGCTGAGGGAGCCAGCATACAGCTTCCGGGTCATGTGGCCAGCATGACTAAGCCGCTTCTGGCGAACCAGAGCAGCGCACGTTTACCTTCCCGCTGTAGCGGTACCTATTTATCTACTTGCACTTGGACGTGTTTTGAACTGCTAGGTTGGCAGGAACAGGGACCGAGCAACGGGAGCTCACCCCGTTGTGGGTATTTGAACCGCCGACCTTCTGATCGGCAAGTCCTAGACTCTGTGGTTTAACCCACAGCGCCACCCACGTTGGCTACATGGGAGTAAAAGGTAAAGGGACTCCTGAACATTAGGTCCAGTCGTGGCCGACTCGGGTTGCTGCACTCATCTCGCTTTATTGGCCGAGGGAGCCGGCGTACAGCTTCCAGGTCATGTGGCCAGCATGACTAAGCCGCTTCTGGCAAACCAGAGCAGCGCACGGAAACACCGTTTACCTTCCCGCCAGAGCGGTACCTATTTATCTACTTGCACTTGGACATGCTTTTGAATTGCTAGGTTGGCAGGAGCAGGGACTGAGCAACGGGAGCTCACCCCGGCACGGGTATTCGAACCACCGACCTTCTGGCTGGCAAGTCCTAGGCTCTGTGGTTTGATCCACAGCGCCACCCACGTCGGCTACATGGGAGACTAGGGTTCAAATTCCCACTCAGCCACGAAGCTGACTGAGTGACTTTGGGCCAGTGACTGTCTCTTAGCCTAACCTACTACACAGGGTTGTTGTGAAGGATTAAATGAGGAGGGGGAATAATTATGTCTGGCACTTTGAGCTCCTGGGGTGGGGGTGGGGGAAGCTGGCATGTAATGTGCAATAAATAAAGTTAGTGCATGCAATTTTTATGCAAATCCGCCCCTCTTTTTTGGTGCTAAGTGGCCACTCTGTGCCGAAACCTCTTCCCTTGACTGCTGATAAAGTTTGTGTGTTAATCTGAAACCATTTTCCTCACCCCACCCTGCAAATCTGACCCTACTCTCAAGGTCTTGGCCAGGGACACCCTCCCAGAATTCAAGAGAAATGAGGGAAAGCTGAGATGTTTCCCAACTTAAAAGTAAAAAACCCTTTGTTCCTCTTTTCTTGGAACAAACTGGTACAGAGCAATCTCTCAGAGTCACAGCAAAAAGCTGGAAGCACTTGTGATTCTATTCATAACAGCAAAACGGGAGTGTGGGGGATGTATCCCAATCTCCTTCCATTGTGTTGGCAGCGGATTTTAACAAGCCTTTTTCCCTCAGGGAGAAGCATTCGGCATGTCACCGAAGAAAATAGTTTCACGCTGATTTCATCGATCACCCCTCGCTTGTGCTTGGATCCGAAATTTTCCGGCAAGTGTCTCAACATGACTTCCATTCTGCCTCAGCTCTTAAGGCCAAACTGGGAGTTCGCAGGGAAGGCATGGACAGCTTAGCGGTGCCATCAAGGCAGGATTTGGGGGGCAGAGATCTAGGGCTCCGCTCAGCGTAATGCGCAGGAGGGCTCCCAAATGTAGTAGGGCTGTTGGCTTTTAACACATTTTTTAAAAAAACTTTTTTTAAATTCAAGATTAAAACAAAACATATTATCCAGAAACATATCATCCTTATCCCCCCCCCCAATTTTTCCTCCCTCCCCCCACCCTCCCACACAAAACCCCACCCCCGCCCCCCGGCTTCCCTCAGTTCCAGTCTCTGGTTTCTCTAAGAATACTGTTTTCTGCATGTTACACAGTTATATAGATCCTCAAACTATTTATCTGATTATCATCAATAAAAAGTTTGTGAATGTTTATTCAAAGCCAGCCAAGGAGTCCAGTTCGCTTTGTTGCGTCTTCAAATACTTTGTAAAGGGTTCCCATTCATCTCTGAAGCCACAGTTATCCTTGTCCTGTAGCTTATATGTCAATTTTGCCAGTTCTGTTGCTTTTAACACATTTTGACATGATGCGCCTTGCCATCTAAAGCACACTGCCACCTACAAATACCTAGCGGCCCCACTGCGACAACTTTTTGTTTTATGTATATGAAAAAATCTGGTTTTTGTGTGGTTATTATGGAGGCGGTGAGGAAGAAGTATACCGTCTAAAGCAGGCATCCCCAACTTGCGGCCCTCCAGACGTATTGGCCTACAACTCCCATGATCCCTAGCTAACAGGACCAGTGGTCAGGGATGATGGGAATTGTAGTCCAAAACATCTGGAGGACCAAAGGTTGGGGGTGCCTAGTTTAGAGCTCTCTGGACGTAAGGTGGGGTATGAAATGCAACATGTAGGAAAATCGTTTCCCCCGTTCCATTTTTAATAGTTACAAGTATCCACGCTTTGTTTTTTTTTTAATATTTCAGGGTCAGCGGTACTCCCTGCCACTAGAGCTCATTAGGACTATTTTCTCCTTTGGAATACCTTTAACACTTCCTCACAGTAGTAGTAGTATAGGCTACTTAAACATTGTCAAAAGAAAGGAAGGAAGGAAGGAAGGAAGGAAGGAAGGAAGGAAGGAAGGAAGGAAGGAAGGAAGGAAGGAAATTGAAGTACATATCTCCATGAAAATTTGCATATGCTAACTTATAGGTTTATGTGCAAATTTACAGATAGAGACTCTAATTTAAATCAGGGTGGGGCAAGAGTTAAAAGCATGCGGACCAGCCAATATTTTTTTTTACCCTTGTACAGGAGACTACTTTCTACGCACAGAGCTCTCTGCCCTGCAACCTGGCAACCGGAGAGTTGTTATCCAAGTTCAAACACACAATTCCAGCTGGGTGAAAAGACCTGAAGTGTGAAGAAGGGCCGGTGTGCCCTGAAGAGAGATCTGAGGGCCACAGAGAGGCCTGGGGGCCACATCCGTGCCATAGACTCTTTTCATCTAATTTTTGGTCCTCATTCCAAAGTGGTCATAAAAGGCGTGTGTGTGTGTGTGTGTGTTTTAACACAACAACGGGTTATTTTCTTCTCCCCCCTTTTTTACACCATTTCAGAGCGCTTATATATAGCCTGTGCTGCAGCAGACTGAGCCTGCTGTTTGGGTTGTCATAAAACACCCAACAGATATGGCTTAAGCGCATAACCTTGGCATTTCCCCGGACAGGTTTATCCTCCGCTGGGTATTTATGGAGGCAAGCAGGACGTTTTTGTTTTCCCTGGCATTGTCCTCCTGGGCTAAATGCTATCTCTTTAACCATCTCCTTTGTGATGCATCTCAAGGAGTGGAAGGTACAGAACGTGCTGCTGCGAAGAGTGCTTAGTGGATTATTATCATTATTTCCCCTTTTTACTTTTTCATTTCATTTTTCATTCTACCCCTTCTTCATCACAAACGGGGTTACAATAAACCAAGTCCATGAAAAGCCATTGAGATGTTAGAGAATGCGTCTTTTTTTAAAAAAACAACAACAAAAAAACCACAAAACCCAGCTATTTGTTGAATACATAATTGTTGGGGTCTTTCCCCACTTTAATCAATGGGATTTTGCTTCCTAGCTAGCTTCCAGTTTTTTAATGTCTGCAAAGCAGTGACAAACAACCAGAAGCCTCTGGTCACACCCACGTAATACATTTAAAGTGCATGGCTCCCCCCCCCAAAAAAAACCCCCACACACAATGCTGGGAGTTGTAGCTTGTTAAGAGTGCTGAGAATTCTAGTTCTGTGAGAGGTAAACTACACTGCCCAGGATTCTTTAGGGAAGCGGAGCCATGTGTTTTAAATGTATGATGTGGGTGTGACCCTTGCCAAAAATCCACCTTGCAGTCAGCCCCCACTTTGGTCTCCCTGTCACCTTCTAGTGGTCAACGTCTGGAGTTGCCACATGCTGAGTCAGATCAGGGAAGATCTCCCACAGCTCAGTGGCAGATCACATGTTTTGAGTGCAGAAGGACCCAAGATCAGTCCCCGGCATCTTCAGGTACAACTGCAGAAGCCTCTTGCCTGTAAAGGTAAAAGGTAAAGGACACCTGGACAGTTAAGTCCACTCACAGGTGACTATGGGGTTGCGGCGCTCATCTCGCTTTTAGGCCGAGGGAGCCGCCGTTTGTCCACAGACAGCTTTCCAGGTCATGTGGCCAGCAGGACTAAACTGCTTCTGGCGCAACGGGACACCATGACGGAAACCAGAGCGCACGGAAACGTCGTTTACCTTCCCGCAGCATCGGGACCTATTTATATACTTGGAACAGCAATGGGAGCTCATCCTGTCGTGGGGATTCGAACCGCCAACCTTCCAATCGGCGAGCCCAAGAGGCTCAGTGGTTTAGACCACCCTCTCTAGCCACCATTGGCCACATTGAATTGGTGGCAACATTTGAACGCTGCCATTCTCAAGCTGAGACAGGTGAGCTTCGCTGAGGAAGGACAACATGGATCCATGTGAGTAAAGGTAAAGCCAAAGGACCTCTGGATGGTTAAGTCCAGTCAAAGGCGACTATGGGGTTGCGGCGCTCATCTCGCTTTCAGGCTGAGGGAGCTGGCGTTTGTCCACAGACAGCTTTCTGGGTCATGTGGCCAGCAGGACTAAACCACTTCTGGCGAAATGGGACACCAGTGACAGAAACCAGAGCGCACGGAAACGCCGTTTACCTTCCTGCCGCAGCGGTACCTGTTTATCTACTTGCACTGGCGTGCTTTCGAACTGCTAGGTTGGCAGGAGCTGGGACGGAGCAACAGGAGCTCACCCCGTTACGGGGATTTGAACCGGCAACCTTCCGATCGGCAAGCCCAAGAGGCTCAGCGGTTTGGACCACAGTGCCACCCGTGTCCCTGAACACCTGGACAGCTGCGTCCACTCAGTGCAGCGGTCTGAGTCAGTATGGAGCATCTCCTTCCCCTCCTATGTCCATGTAGCTCAGCATGGTCTCCTTTGATGGAGCAGACTTTTTTTTAAAAAAAAAATTCTCCAATGTGGCTACAAGCCACAACACTAATGTAATGTGGAGTTAGGCCGCAAGACTTCAGCAGGGAGGAGAATCTATGCACACATTTCCAGCTGTCTCCCTTAAATTCAAGGCTTCACACCAGTTAAGTTAGCAAAAATGTATAAAGTCAGTAATAAATGTTGGAAATGTAAAGAAAAAGAAGGATTATTTTATCATATGTGGTGGGAATGTAAAAAGGTGAAATGCTTCTGGGAGATGATATATAATGAGTTGGGAAAAAATGCTGAAATATACTTTTATTAAAAAACCGGAAGCATTTCTTTTAGGTATTGTTGGAAATGATATAAATAGGAAAGATTGTAAGTTGTTTTTATATGCAGTAACAGCAGCAAGAATATTATTGGCCCAAAAATGGAAGCAAGAAGAACTACCAACATTAGAAGAATGGAGGATGAAATTGATGGACTACGCAGAATTAGACAAACTAACAGGAAGGATCCGAGACCGGCGGGACCAGAGGTTTACCGAAGACTGGACTAAATTTACTGAGTATTTGAAAAGTATTTGTGATGATCAGATTACGTTTGTAGGACTACAAAAAGTTCTGTGAGGAGTAATTTAAGAAATATTGTAAAAATGGAAAGGGAGAAATGATTTGTTAGAAAAGGTAAAGGCAATATTAATTTAAGAATTGCAGGAGAAATATTCAAGACGGAAGGCTATCAGAGATGCTGAAGAAAGTCCAAACAAGGACATATGTATAATATTTTGTGTGGTATGTCTTAAAAAATTTTGTATGCTAAAAATAATAAAAAGTAAGGGGGGGGGAATCAAGCCTTTCTGCCTTACTCAGCTATGGCTGCAAGTGGGGAAGTGGGAGAAGGCAAGAGCAAACAAACTGAGGGATGCCCTTAGTCACAAAGAAGGAATATGAACAGCTCCCTTCTCTCCAAAACCCCCTGCTAAATGCATCTTCGTATTGTCATCTTTACGCCCAGGAAGGCTTTCCTCACACACATCCTTATCTAACTCATGACAACAGTGCTTGAGACTCCGTGTGCTAGTGGCATGCTTCATACTGCGCTTGCGACTCACTGGGCAGGGGCACAAACTCCACAGCTGACGCGCTAGTGATCTTGCTGGTGTCCAGCTCCACTCGGTGATATTCATAGATGGTCCGACGGTGAGCTTCTGAAAAAAAAGGCAAAGATGGGGGTATTCAATTAAAGTGGGTCTCTGCCCTCTGTCTTGTGGGGCGCAGTCTCATATTGCAGTCATGCAGATCTCTGCATGGTTAATATGATGGTGCAGCTCTTGAGCAGTTTTGGAGCACCTCTGGCATTTTAGGGGCTGGAAGAAAGCTTTTTGGCCCCTAACTCCCTATATAGCAGGAGATTCCCTGGACAATGTAGAATCCAGCTCCTCCCTTCTTTGGGTATTTACCGTATTTTTCGCTCCATAAGACGCACTTTTTTCTTCCTAAAAAGTAAGGGGAAATGTCTGTGCGTCTTATGGAGCGAATATGTGGTCCCTGGAGCTGAATTGTTCATGGCTACAGCCTGCACCCAAAAAATCATGCACCCAGTGTTGCATGGGGCCACAATGGCGCAAAAACGTGGTTACAAACCACGGAGCCACATGGATCCTCAGGATTTTTGCATTGGGCTACCCCAAACTCACTGCCTGTGGCCACAGCATGAACCACAAAAATCATACACCCACTGTTTCGCTCAGAGTATTTTTTTTCTTGTTTTCCTCCTCTAAAAACTAGGTGCGTCTTATGGGCAGATGCATCTTTTGGAGCGAAAAAATACGGTATTTACTTGGCCAATAACCAGTTGAGCTCTCTTCTTTGGAATGCATATTCCCTTTTGCTTACTGCACAAGGGGTAGGAGAATATGGCTGGAGGTTGTTGGCTTATGGTGGTAGGCATGTCACTCAGCCCTGGCACTGTCTGTCTAAGATAAGAACCCATCAGAAGAATGGAGGAACCTCAGATGAGCCCTGCTGGAGGAGAGCAATGATCTATCTAGTCAAGCATCCTCTTTCCCACAGTGGCCAAGCAGATGCCTATGGGAAGCCCGCAATCAGGACAGGAGGACAATAGCTATCACCCTCTGCGACTCTTCAGCAACTGGTCCTCTGGACTTGGAGCTCTCCAACCAATAAGTCTACCTGTCTAGGGATCCACTCCCATCCTTCTCCTCTTCCAAATAGCCCAGACTCACCAGGCACGCCAGGGGAGGAGTTACGGATCATGAAAGCGTCTGAGAGTCCAGCTTTGACGGGATGTTGTGTAGAACTGATCTCCGGGACAGACATGGGGATCTGGAGCCAGGAAAGGGGCAAGAAGGCTTAGAAAATCCCATCCATGGAGTTAAAGAAAGGTAATTCCACACCCACTCTTGGAGCGTCTCTCCTCCTAAATGGCTAAGACTTTGATGAACTTTTTAGCAGAGGAAACAACGAAGAACTGGAGACTCACCCCACCTTTTAGTTCTGTACTGTCATGGGTAGGCAAACTAAGGCCCGGGGGCCGGATCCAGCCCAATCACCTTCTAAATCTGGTCCACGGATGCTCCAGGAATCAGCATGTTTCTACATGAGTAGAATGTGTCCTTTTATTTAAAATGCATCTCTGGGTTATTTGTGGGGCCTGCCTGGTGTTTTTACATGAGTAGAATGTGTGCTTTTATATAATAATAATAATAATAATAATAATAATAATAATAATTATTATTATTTTTATTTATACCCCGCCCTCCCCAGCCAAGGCCGGGCTCAGAGCAGCTTACAAGCAATAATAAAAACAAGTTAAATGATTACAACTTAAAAACAAAATTAAAAATACAACATTAAAATATTGAAACATTAAAATATTAAAATGTAGCCTCATCGCAGGAGGAGAAGGAAAAGAAAAAAGAAAGAGAGGGAGGGAATCAAATTTAAAATGCATCTCTGGGTTATTTTGTGGGGCATAGGAATTCATTCTCCGCCCCCCCTTAAAATATAATCCGCCCCCCCACAAGGTCTGAGGGACAGTGGACCGGCCCCCTGCTGAAAAAGCTTGCTGACCCCAGACCTATATTTTATCTTTTAACCAAAAGATAAAAGAACATTCACTGACTAAAAGTGCTCAACCTGCAATGGCAAAAAAAGAGAACAAATTCTATCCCACCCTACTAAAAGATGAACACCAATACAGGCTAGGGCATCTTCAAACCTTATTATTCCAATAAAGAGCCAAATGCCTGGGTGAAGAGGAACACGTTTACTTAGTTCCCAATGATGGTTCTAGGCACATCACTCTGGGAAGAGCATTCTACAACCAGGAGCCACCACCCATAAGGCCTATATTCATATTGCCGCCACCACCCCACACCTCCCAGGAGGGGCGGGGACAGACACACACACAAAGAAGGGCCTCAGATAATGAGCCTGGTTTAGGTAGATTCATGCAAGGAGAGGCGGTCTCTAAGGTATTGGTGTCTCAAGCTGCCTAAGGTGTTATAGGACAAAACCAGCACTTTGAATTGAGCCTAGAAACTAACTCCCCTCACCTCTTTGTAGCCAAAGACTATTCTGCCATCACTGTGCAAAGCTGCCTGGAAGTCAAAAGACCCTCTGTCTTCTTTTCCTTCCAGGTACACTTGGTCCCACTGAACCACAAAGACTGTCCCTGAAGAGGAAGAAGAGCAGGAGAAGGGGTGAGAATATGAGAATGCCATTGTTTTACCCTAACAGCTGGCATGGGGGCTAGGAACTTGAAACTTCTGCTATCATTCACAGATTCAAGGAAGGAACTCAGAAGCCAACTAGCCATGCTCCCTGCCAAGAACAAGGCAGGGCCACCCACTTGCCCATAGATTAGCCCAACCCAGACTTTCCCATCTTGGTGCCTTGTGGACATTGCTGAACTACAATTCCCATCATCCCTGAACAGTGGCCTGAACAGTCTAGGGCTAATGGGAGTTATCAATATCATAAGTGTGAAATAAAGGCAAATTGAGTTGGTACTAGAGTCAGAGGCGCCAGGTTCTCAACATGATTGAGGGGGCTTGACACAACATTCTGACATCACGTATGCGAAGTCGTAAGGAGTCAGGGGGCGGAGCCGAACACCCTCTGAATATTGATAGGACCTGGTCCCCTAAAAAGTGGGGGGCTACAAAGTCCCTCAGCCCCCAGGAGCTGGCTCCTATGACGATAGTCCAGCTATACCTCTCGATTGCAAAACAAACACACCTGTGCGAAAAGCACCTAAGCAGAGAATTTTGGGTTTTCACATTTTGCTTTGCGAAATAAAGACCGGTTCTGGTGTAAAACAAAAAGGGAGATACTAAGCGCTCCCAAGGATTTCCCCCCCAAGTCTGCATGTGAGGAGGACTCACCGTTGTCAAAGTATTTGACGGTGGAATTTCGAGAGTAGCTGGGGTTGAAGTTTGCCATGAGAGGAGCAACATACTGCGTGGCTGTCAGCATCCGATGAATGACGTCCCCCATGAAGATGAAGCCTGGCAAAGAGACCAAGGGGAGGGGGAGGGAGCCAAGCTATTTTATGTCACCATCTAAAAATCCTGTTGCCTTCTTCCCCAGAGACTCCTAGGAACCCCAGGGTCACTTTCCAGAGAGCCAGAGTGCTGCCGTGACAGCAGTGGAAGCAGATTCAGAACTGCAGGGGCTCTTCAGGATAGTCACAGCTACACACCCTCACAGCCACAACCCCTCCTAAGAGTACACAACCTTCCAAGCTTCTACAATAATCTTACAATTATACAATAATAATAATTAGGGATGTGTTGCAACAATCAATGCAGATCTCCATGTCCTGCCTTTCAGCTAGATCTACTATTTTCTGTACACATACATGGGCAAATGATTTGGAGAGTGGCAATAACTTCTTTCAGAGTGACTTCAGTTGAAAAAAAGAAAAGAAAAAATTAACGGGTTTTTCAAACAAATACAAATACAATAACCATTAAACACTTATCCAGAAATACAGCTAATGATGTTTGCTTTATCCACTGTCTCTAGACCTACACTTACACATCTGACATTCAAACATATTACTTAACGTAACCCCTCCACTGAGAATATTAGGTGGTTGGTGTAACAAGGTGTGATCACTGCAGATGGTGACAGCGGTCACGAAATTAAAAGACGCCTGCTTCCTGGGAGAAAAGCAATGACAAACCTAGGCAGCATCTTAAAAAGCAGAGACATCACCTTGCCAACAAAGGTCTGTATAGTTAAAGCTATGGTTTTCCCAGTAGTGATGTATGGAAGTGAGAGCTGGACCATAAAGAAGGCTGATCGCTGAAGAATCGATGCTTTTGAATTATGGTGCTGGAGGAGACTCTTGAGAGTCCCATGGACTGCAAGAAGATCAAACCTATCCGTTCTTAAGGAAATCAGCCCTGAGTGCTCACTGGAAGGACAGATCCTGAAGTTGAGGCTCCAATACTTTGGCCACCTCATGAGAAGAGAAGACTCCCTGGAAAAGACCCTGATGTTGGAAAGATGGAGGGCACAAGGGGAAGGGGACGACAGAGGACGAGATGGTTGGACAGTGTTCTCGAAGCTACCAGCATGAATTTGACCAAACTGCGGGAGGCAGTGGAAGACAGGAGTGCCTGGCGTGCTCTGGTCCATGGGGTCACGAAGAGTCGGACATGACTAAATGACTAAACAACAACATAACAAGGTCTACCTTTTTTTTGAAGGTGTCTCTGTTTGCTGTGCCTTTAATTGCCCTCCTGTGTCTGGTGTGACGCCCAGACGTTGCTGCATCCCATATATTCTTTTTCCATGTGTTCAGGGGCAGTAACCTAACTTGTGTTTCCCTTGAAGTTCCATTGCACACTATTCTGTGGAAATGGATGCATCTTGCGGCGTTTCTGTATTCCTAAAGGCTTAGCATGCAGAACCACTCCTCCTCAATGCTCTGTGGGCAAAAAGATTCCTGCATCGCGGGGAGTTGGACTAGATGACCCTTGTAAGCTAGTGTGGTGTAGTGGTTAAAAGCAGTCGACTCGTAATCTGGTGAACTGGGTTCGCATCTCCGCTCCTCCACATGCAGCTGCTGGGTGACCTTGGGCTAGTCACACTTCTTTGAATTCTCTCAGCCCCACTTACCTCACAGAGTGTTTGTTGTGGAGGAGGAAGGGAAAGGAGGTTGTTAGCCGCTATGAGACTCCTTCGGGTAGTGATAAAGCGGGATATCAAATCCAAACTCTTCTACTCTTCTTCTTGTGGTCCCTTCCAGCTCTACAATTCTATGATTCCCATGCGTTCTCTCCAGAGCGACCCTAGGAGCCAATCCTCAGTGGCTGACTCATCGCCTGATTGGTTCCAATGGGCACAAAGGGTGTGAAGACTTCTTCTCAGTGGCTAAAAAGGCTCCCCTTTCATACTGCTGATTGGATGGCTCTAGGGCAGTGGAGACGGGAGCCCTGCTGCACACACACACACACACACACACACACACACCTCAGAACCACTCTATTTTTCATTCCCACTCAGTTATGAAGCTCACTAGGTGACCTTAGGCCAGTCGCCATCTCTCAGCCTAACCTCCCTCACAGGGTCATTGTGGAGAGCGAGGGGAGAGGAACATGCACCCCCTATTGCATGCCGCAGAGGACGGGAAGCCCAGCCAGATGGGCAGGGTATAAATAAATTATAATAATAATAATTAAACATGCACTGCAACAAATAAATAAAACCCACTTTGCTAGCCACCAAACCAAAGGCATCAATGCTCTGGTGGGAGAAGGGGAGGGGAGGTGGGTTTTGCTTCAGCGGCAGCGTGGAGACATAAAATCATCAAGCTGACCGCCTTTGCTCAGCTACGAGGCAAACCTTTCAAGGCTCGCTGCTTTGCTGAAAACCTACAGGCTGCAGGATCTCAGCGCAGAGGGGGCAAGCCATTCCAGTCCTCAGAGCTAGGCTAGCAGCACAGCTGCTGCCAGCTGGGCGGCGGAGGTGACGGCAAGGAAGGTGGAGAAACGAGAAGTTCCAGTAAACACCACAGATAGATTCCAGATGTCGCCACAAGTGGGAGCGCAGGAGGTCCACAGAGGTCAGGAGGGGCAGAAGGATGGGTTGAGGCAGAACAGATTTTCAGAAGAAGCGATGGGGGATGTGACTCACGCTTGCTCTGCGATCCGCCCGGTCTCGTGAACACAGAAACGTACGGGGCTGAAGCTATCTTATACCAAATCAAACAACTGGTCCATCTAGCTCAATATTATCTACACTCTCCAAAAGGGAACGTTCCCAGCCGTTCCTGGAAATGTTGCAGACTGAAAGTGGGACCTTCTGTGTGTGTAAAGCAACTGCTCTTCCCCTTAACTGTGGGCAGCCCACAAAGTGACTTGGACATAAGAGATGCCCTCTGGCCGCCATTTGCCTCCCTTCTCTTTCAGCCCCTCATTCCAGAGCTTCTTGAAGCATCTCAGAATCATGGAATTGTAGATCTGGAAGGGACCACGAGAGCCATCTAGTACAACCCCCTAGTATGCAGGAATCTTTCACTCAAAATTGGGGCTCAAACCTACGACCCTGAGATGAACAGCTCTGTGCTCTATTGGCTGAGCTTGGTCGTAGGGCCGTCACTTTTGCATTGTGAGTGAGGAGCTGGGCATACAGAACTTGCACACAATTTGCATGTGCTATTTTTTTATGAACAGATGCAAGAGCAGAAATTATTGCTACGGTTTAAATAGAAATAAAGTCACATCTCTCCATAGAATGTGACCAGGTGATCTTTGTTGGTGTTGTTTAGTCGTTTAGTCGTGTCCGACTCTTCGTGACCCCATGGACCAGAGCACGCCAGGCACTCCTGTCTTCCACTGCCTCCCGCAGTTTGGTTAAACTCATGCTGGTAGCTTTGAGAACACTGTCCAACCATCTCGTCCTCTGTCGTCCCCTTCTCCTTGTGCCCTCCATCTTTCCCAACATCAGGGTCTTTTCCAGGGAGTCTTCTCTTCTCATGAGGTGGCCAAAGTTTTGGAGCCTCAGCTTCAGGATCTGTCCTTCCAGTGAGCACTCAGGGCTGATTTCCTTAAGAATGGATAGGTTTGATCTTCTTGCAGTCCATGGGACTCTCAAGAGTCTCCTCCAACACCATAATTCAAAAGCATCAATTCTTCATCGATCAGCCTTCTTTATGGTCCAGCTCTCACTTCCATACATCACTACTGGGAAAACCATAGCTGTAACTATACGGACCTTTGTTGGCAAGGTGATGTCTCTGCTTTTTAAGATGCTGTCTAGGTTTGTCATTAGTGGGCACCAGGTGATCTGGGTGCCCAGTAAGTCTGTTGTCCAGGTTGCTGGTGGGCAACGTTAAGGCTCCTCCTGCCCTTTCTTCTCATGATTCTTTATCTCTAAGCTGGACATGGACTGGCCAGCTTTTCAAATAGAGGGCTGTCCTTGGGGGGAAAATAGGACACAAAGACACCCTACTTGGAAGGAGGGAGAGAATACGAATGAGAATAATTTCTGGTAATTATCAATTTGCTTTCCTTCTAGGCCAGGAGAGTGCAGCCTTCCAGCTGCTGTTGGACTCTACCTCCCATCAGCCCCAAACACCATAGACCAGTGACAAGGGACGATGGGAGTTGTAGTCTGGAGGGTCACAGGTTCCCCAATGATGTTATGCATAACTGTCAACTTTCAGATTTGAAAATAAGGGATCAGCAGCCTCACCTGTCTCAGGGACAGTCTACAGGATATCTAACAATCCGGGATAGCAGCGGGAAGCAGTGGGAAACGGCGCTGGAATAAGGGAATTTCCCGCAAAAAAACAGAAGGTTGACAGCTATGATGTTATGTGGAAAATCCAGGCCAGGGCACACGATTAAGAGAAATAAATTATCATATTGCAGGTTCACTTCAGAGTCCCCCTCAATCACCGCTTTCCCTCCACTTCAGGAAGCAGAAATATAGAGCCTAGTCTTGCTGGAAAGGAAACAGTGAGATTGGCTAGAGTGGGGCAAAACCAGGCCCACACTTCCCACCCAAAGTGGCTGCAGTCCAAGCACTTAGGATAACGGAATGGGGATATCACAAAGGACGTTGCCATGTTGCTTCTAGTACCTTTGCTACAGGCACTCCTCACCCCCCTCAGTATTCTGAAAATCTTTGCAAAAAACCATCATCCCTTAAACCCAATGTGGTACCCAGTGAAGCTCACCTCCAGTTGCTATGGTGACTTGCCTCAGGTAATGCCCATAGAAGGGGAAGTCAAATGATAGGATGACTCTCTGTAGGAGGATAGATGGGAATAACAGCATTTAAGACAGGAGGCTTGCTGGGTGATATGTTGAGCATGTTCACGACCCCAAATTTCCACAGGGTTCAAGATCAAATGGAGGAACTTGTAAGCATACAAATATAGGCTTGAGCATTAAGGAAAGGTGGGGACGGAATCCAGATTCTGTGCCAAGGAAAGCCAGTAATTAAACTAAATGCTTGCAAATTAAGCAGATGTGCATGTATTTACCTACTGGCATAATTTATTCTGTTTCTGGTCGTCACAGAGAGGGGCAAGGAGCTTTGCAAAATACGGGGGTTGCACCCCATCCCCTCCTCTGGCTTCTGAGAATTTGTCAAGAAGTGCAGGTATATTTTCCAGCCCATCTTTGCTGCCATTTATTATGTATATAAAACGAGGCTGAGATTCTCACTTGTGTGAGGATTTACTGGAAGTACAGCTCACATTCCTGGGGTACAGATTTCGTTGCTGGAGGGCAAGATGTTGGCACAAATGGGTTCCCCTTCTCAAGATGAAACCCTTGATAGAGGAGTGCAACCCTCGTGTGAATTCATTCGTGCAAATAATAACTGATCCAAAAAATTCATAAAACTATCCCCCCCCCCAACTTGCAACACTTTATTCTCCGTGTATTCCCCTATAATAAAAAGTCTCCACCACCCTCCCCTTGGATGTTCATTTAATTTTAAGGTTTCACTCAAAACACTGGAGAAAATTTGATCCATTTGGGTGGAGGGGGAAAGGACAACACAGCCAAGATATTGGTGTAGGTCTGTGTTTATGTAAATGTCCCAGACAAAAAACACATGGTGTTAACTCATACAATACCTGCACAACATATGCTAAGGCTACAGTGAAGATAAGCAATCTTTCTGTATTTTTCTTTTCTTTTCAGTACCTTTCCGGGATGTGAAGGTATTTTGTTAATTAACCTTTCAGTTAAGGTTTATGTCCGTGCTACGTTGTAGTAATACAATTTGTATCGGATTATTATGGTTCCTCTACTTCTATCGCATTTTAGACTGTTTTCAGTAAACTGCTTTGAGCACAAATGTATTTGTAGGAAATGCGGTAATTAAATAAACTGGCTATGACTGTGACTAAGAGTTTATGAGTTTAGAAAAATCAATGGCCAAGGCTTTAGAATTCTGTGAGATGCCTGCGCAGAGAAGAATAGGCTGACAACACAATTACTGATTTATGTTGCTGCTGCAGTTATAAGATAAGCAGATGTTTTAGTATTGATTTGCTGGTTACACCTCATAGGAGCTCAGGAATGGCTAGTTAGCAGCATAGTGCTAACCTATGGTTTGTTCAAGTTGTTTGTTTAACAAACCATGAGTTAATCACAAGTTGTCCTACAGGCAATCAAAGAAACCATGGCTTGTTTCCAACATATTACTTTGTTTTCCAGCTCCTCTTCCCTTGTGCTTTTGTAGTTAGACGAGTGTCTGGGTGGCATCATTAAAACAAACCATGGTTAGGAAAGGGTGCTGGTTTTAGACGTAATACTACGCCATGATTAAAACAAACCAAAGCTCATAAACCAACAACGAATCACACTTAAACTTCAAGTCAGGTCTCACACCTGCTAAACCATAGCTTAACAAACCATAGTTTAGTGTTTTGTGTTATGTGCAGAAATACCTGTGTTTCCCTATGCTGATACAGCAGTTAAAATAAGGAGATGTTGGCATTTCAGCCCTCAATTTCTTTTTTAACATAGGTAGAGGGAAGCCAAAATATGACGAGACGGAATGTTAGCGTTTCCCTGCACCGTAAAACTTCATCTATTTTCTATCAAAATCTTGGACACTAATCGCGGTTTGGAGGGAAAGGACAACCAAAGAAAAGTGGCTGGAAAAGCAATGGCAGGTTGTTGGTGGCAATGGATACACAGACAGGTAAGCGCATAGCCAACAGGTGAAAAGAGATGCTCACCGAGGCTTGCCTATGCGTATTGGAGAGGATTCCATGGACTTTGACTTGGCTCCTGTTGGCTGCTGTAACTTCTACCCATAGTTCCTTGGCTCGCGCTTCACTCGGACCATACGTTCGAGATATATAGTAGTTGTGGTTGTCTTCCTGAGTAGAGAGAAACAGTTGTGGTAACTACAGGGATAAGGCGCACCCATTGCCAAAGCAGTTCATCTCCCATCGAAACATCCAGATGTGTGTGCGAGGGTAGGTAGATGATGATAATGATGATGATGAAGAAGAAGAAGAAGAAGAAGAAGAAGAAGAAGGAGGAGGAGGAGGAGGAGTTTGGACTTGATATCCCTCCTTTCACTCCCCTTAAGGAGTCTCAAAGCAGCTAACAATCTCCTTTCCCTTCCTCCCCCACAACAAACACTCTGTGAGGTGAGTGAGGCTGGGAGACTTCAGAGAAGTGTGACTGGCCCAAGGTCACCCAGCAGCTGCATGTGGAGGAGTGGAGACGCGAACCCAGTTCACCAAATTACGAGTCTACTGCTCTTAACCACTACACCACACTGGATGAAAAAGAGGTCAGGGCTCCTGCACCTTTAACAGCTGTGTAGAATTTCAGCAGCTGCAGATTGCATTAAGAATTTGCAGAAGCCTTGTCTTCTTCTGCATCAGGCTACCCTGGTATTGCACTCTTCTAACCACCTCCCATATTCCCCGGAAATATATTCTATGTATTTCTAATTATTCTATGTAGTTCTCTATTCTATCCTCAGGAATATCTCTGCTGGGTTAGGGAGAATCTTCTCTGTGTCCAAGGGGAAACTGTTGTGCATGCCTATTTGGGAGCTGAGTTCCATAATAATAATAATGATGATGATGATAATAATAATAATAAATAATAATAATTCTTCCATGAGACTTACTCCCAGACAAGTGTGCATAGGGTTACAGGGTTAGTTCAGCATCACACCAGTCCAAGATCAACTCATACCAGCTGCTATTAAACAACATTTTATGAAGACCTTTATGGGAATTCTATGGTGCAATCGCCAACAACTATAAATATTCTGACATGGTTTACGTAAACGTTTTCTGCGGTTGAATTGTAAAACTTAAAAAAATAAAAAATCCAGCAGAGGATCCAGCTGGTTCATGTGTTAATTGACCTGGCGGGCCCTAGGAAATTTTGCTGCCCGAGACCAAGTTCCCCAGTCCATGCAATGGAATCCAACCAGGCTGGCAGCTGTTATCTTATTTCAACACTGGTGGTTGGGACAACACCCTGCAGTGTGCCTCAGGGCATCAGGCTAGCTCAGGGAGAATGGAAGAATGCCCCACTCTGCCTAATGGTAGGGCTGGCCCTACGAACAGAACATCAGAGTAGAACTGAGGCCTGACCCATACATGGAGACACATCATTTGATCACCATACACTTTGATGTCCGGCAAGTGGAAATGTGTGAAATGATTTCATTTTTTTAAAAAAGGGTGGGGGGAGGTTGTACCCAATGGTAATCCTACTCAGAGTAAACCTGCTGAAGCTAATGAACATGACCACCTCCGATTCATTCGTTTCAATGGGTATGCTCTGAGCAAGACTATCATTAGATGCAACCCACTTTGTTTGAGGTGATGAGAAAAGAAAGGGAAGTTCTTATCTGTGTGGAGCAACTTATAGCTTGATGTTGCCTCTGTCCAGTGGTGAAGACCTAGAGGTGCGGCCTGGTTGTTAACAAGACAAAGGGTGTTCGCTGGGGCTGATGGGAGTTGTAGTCCCAAGTACCTGGAAGGCACCAGACTGAGGACAGCTGGCCTACAACTATGAACAGAGACTGCCACATGGGGCCTCCACTGTTTGACGTTGCTCCTTTAAACGGCTTGGGGGCAGAGAATGAGAGGGAGAAAAACAGAAAATAGCTTCCATTTGTGTGATCTAGTTATATCTCCCAAAGAGACCACTTTTTTCAAACCTGGTGATGGGGAATAGGATAGGAATTCTATTTATAGAGAAGCATTTAATGTGGCAAGAGGTTCTCCCTCCCCCCCCCTATATTTTTTTCCAGCAAATCGCTCTCTTTCCCTGTAATGAGCGGTGGAGGAGGAATCCTAATTTTCTTGTTCTTGGAGGGAGGGTGGAAGGACCAGGCCCTTTCCTTTTGAAACAGACCTTCAGTTGCTCCACCATCAACCTCTGCCACTTGGGACTGAATTGCTGGGATGCTTTGGTTAACTCTTTCACTGCTAAATGGATGGCTTTATTTGAGGATGCAGAAAAAAGGAGCCATACTGGCTTGAAGGCAGCAGATGTAGCATTCATCCAAAATGGGCAGCTCTCTACTCCTGGCCTATTGCCTCTCCTCCCTATTAGATTCCGTCCACGTGACACCAGTATTACAAAGAAGTAGACCAGGTGTTGGGATGCTGTGGCCCTCCAGATATTGCCTGACTCCAACTCCCATCAGCCCCAACAAGCATGGTTGATGGCCAGGTAAGATGGATGTCATAGTTTAGCAACATCTGGAGGGCCAAGTGTTCCCCTCACCTGAACTGGATGGTGCCCCCCCTCCCATTTATTTCTTAACATTTGTATTCCACCTCTTCTCCATCAAGCTCAGGGTGCCATATGTTGATGTGACTGGCACTTATCTCCAGCATACGTTAAGCTAAGGCAATGATTTGTCCTAATGGGCTTCATGGCTGAGCGGATGTTATGTACTGAGTTGGATAGGATCCAAAAGGCAGCAGTCTGATTGGTCCTAGAACAATAGGATCCAGAATGCAGCAGTCTGATTGGTCTTAGAACAACAGGATGCAGAATGCAGCAGTCTGATTGGTCCACAGGAGCCACCCAATCCAGCTCCAGGTAGAAGGGAATCCGCAACCTGATCGGCCTACAGCAGAATCCGGGAATTAGCCAATCACGTGGGGCCCATTGTGTAAATAATTCATAAAAGGCAGACATTCGGGGGGAACTTCCATTCCTCCTCACCACTATGAGCTGAATAAAGAGCATGAAATCCACTCTCGACTCTGAGCATATTTCAGTGGAGTATTGATCTTTCCAGGCAAAGTTCTAAACTGGTGTTAAGCTATAAAGCTCAGGAGACCAATATTCTTTGGAGTACTGCTCCCAATATGAACCTATCCACTTTGGCCTTCATCTGAGGCAGTTCTCTGGGTTTGCTCTCTGGGGGAGTTTTGGAGGGTAGCAGCAAGGGACAGGGCCTTTTCAGTTGTGGCTCCTCACTTGTGGAATGCTCTCTCCAGTGAGGTCCTCCTGGCACCATCATCAACGTCCTTTCAGCACCAGGCAAAAACTTTTAGCTTCTCACAAGCACTTGACAGATCTTGACAAGCTGGTTGACTGCCTATTGGGTGATGCGTTCTTGCGGCTGACGTTTTTGTTTTTCTGATTGGTTTGTGTATGAGTTATTAATAGGGATGGTTTTACTGAATTGAATTTCACACATTATGCCTTTTTGGCTTTTAACTCAGTCACTTAGAGGCTTTTTTTGGTAAGGTATAACTAATAATAAGAAGAAGAAGAGTTTGGATTTGATACCCCGCTTTATCACTACCCGAAGGAGTCTCAAAGCGGCTAACATTCTCCTTTCCCTTCCTCCCCCACAACAAACACTCTGTGAGGTGAGTGGGGCTGAGAGACTTCAGAGAAGTGTGACTAGCCCAAGGTCACCCAGCAGCTGCATGTGGAGGAGCGGGGAAGCGAACCCGGTTCCCCAGATTACGAGTCCACTGCTCTTAACCACTACACCACACTGGCTCTCTAATAAGCCAAACAACCACTACTCCAATTCAAAAACCTCACAGTGGGTTAGGCCAGTGGTCCATTTGGCAATCGGTTTTCCAACAAAGACTGGCTATGGGGTCCAGAAAGGTGAATATGCAGGGCCAGAAGAACCTGCTCGCCCGTTGACTGGCAATCCAAGGTTGAGGAACCTGTGGTCCTCCAGACATTATTAGACACAGTCATCTATCATCTGCAGCCAATCCATGCCAGCAGTTAGATATTGTAGGTATTGTAATCCAACAATGCCTGGAGAGCCCCATCACTGTGGTATCACTGAATTGCAGAGTTGGAAGAGATCCCCGAGGGTCATCTAGTCCAACCCCCATCAACGCAGGAATCCTGCCCACAGTCATCCCTGGGTGGGCTCAAACTAACAGCCTTCTGGCTAACAGCCAGATGCACTAACCCAGGGTGGCCAACTCCCAAGAGACTATAATCTACTCACAGAGTTAAAAACTGGCAACGATCTACCCCCTTTTTGTGGTTCAGGTCAAAGTTGTTGAGCTTTTATTAGGAAGGAGGAAGACCCATCTTTGGGGGGTTCGGGTCAAAGTTGTTCAGTTTTTTTTCCAGGGAGGAGGTAAAATGTTAAGCTTTTTTTAGGGGAGCCACAGTGGCTCAGCTTCTTTGGGGGGAGCCAATGATCTACCAGCGATCTACCGCAGATGTCCAGTGATCTACCAGTAGATCACGATCTGTCTGTTGGACATGCCTGCACTAACCCATGAATAGGCAAACTAAGATCCTTGGGCCGGATGCGGCCCAATCGCCTTCTCAATCCAGCCCGCGGACCGTCTGGGAATCAGCGTGTTTATACATGAGTAGAACGTGTCCTTTTTTTAAAAAATGCATCTCTGGGTTATTTGTGGGGCCTGCCTGGTGTTTTTGCATGAGTAGAATGTGTGCTTTTATTTAAAATGCATCTCTGGGTTATTTGTGGGGCATAGGAATTCATTCATATATTTTTTTCAAAATACAGTCTGGCCCCCCACAAGGTCTGAGGGACAGTGGACCGGCCCCCTGCTGAAAAAGTTTGCTGACCCCTAAGTGACTAACCCACTGCACCATTCCTCAAAGTGGAGATTGTGGGCAGGATTCACCTAATAAGTATGGTTGGCAGAGGCCCTGCACAAGATCTTCTGCTTGCACAATGGGGCTTCCCCCTCCCCATCACCCTGTGCACCCCCTGAAACTGGCAAACTAAAATGTGTGCACTGATGGAGCATTCAACATAGCACGACACTCAATTATTTCCTTCACTTCTATCATGGCCGTTAAGTGTATGACGCACCTCTCTTCCAAGTTTTCATTAAAAGCAATTTGTGTTTGCAGCAAGCACAATTTCCTG